TTCCGAATAAAACATGCAAGAAATAAATTGTTCGCTAAAAAAACTGTAATATGCCTGTAAATCGACACAACGAACAAAGTTAACCGTGAAGACACGTGTGCAGGTGTTAAAATACAGAAAATTCAGTTAGTTGGACGAATAATATGTTTATATTTAATAGAATATATCTTAGGCACATATATTGAATTCGTGTCGGTTGGTTTTTGCAATGAGTATTTGTTTCTAATACTCGTACACAACAGATATCTAATAAATTCAGACATTTTAGTTTTGCTACAGACAAAGTTGGTCACGTTCGATTTTTTTTTTGTAACAAAATCTTAATAATCTATACGGGAATCATCATGGGAAAAAGTCTTATCGTGCAGATTTTATTTGCATTAGTCTTGATTCGCATAGAAAACTGTACAAGCGACACCAAGTTGGACGAAATCGACCATTTTTGGCAAGCGAAACACTGGGATCAGATGACGTGGTTCGTTAGCATAATATCACCACCCATCAAGACGAAAACACGCGTGGGAGAAGTGAAGGATAAAAATCAATTATGGTCCATGGCTACTATCTCGTTAATCAACAAGCTGAAATCAATCGCTTTATTAATGGAGTGCGGCTACGGAAAACCATTGATCGACTTCCTCTGGATATCGACCTACACAGTACAACAGTGCGGCGAATTGTTAAGTCACGGTGACAGTAACGCAGTGGATTGTTGGCTAAAACTTGATTATAGTCTCAAAAGAGGCGCAATTATTGCGTATAAATTGTTTGCCATGAATGATCATGTTAATAAATTACACAAAAGGACTGTCGTCGACAACGGTTATTACAAAATTCTGCTGCAGATCCATGAAATGTTTAAGGGACAACAACGCGATCTCACAGAAACGGCGCCCGAAAATTTATACAAAGATATCGAAAGTTTAGCTACGCGCTTAGTAATCCAATGGAATGACAGCTGTCAACCGTCATACTCTGTCATCGGCGAAGAGGAGATACAGAGGAAAGATAAACGTCCCAAATCAAACGATAAACCGAATCTCCTTTATGATTTATACGTGGACAAATTGATTTCTACCATTAACTCCGTAAACGAACTTACGGAAAAAATTGGTTTTCAATACAAGTCACCCAACAAAAAAGTTACTTTTTCTATTCCTCCCGAAACAGATGGAAGTTCATCCAGTCACCAGAAAATTAATTAAACGGGGAAACAGACGGGATAATAATTGTTCTTGCCATATAAAAATTGTAACCAGTTTAAACATTTTAATAAAATCCATAGGGTATGTCATGTTTTTGTGTTATAACTCTTAAGGTATACCTACCAAATTTTACATTGTAATTCAATAGAAAAAAATTCTATTTAATAATTAATTTTTGATTTGTTAATTTCGACGTATATAATAAATATAAATTATGAATAATACTATAATGATGAATAAATGTGTAATATTATCAAATATAATAAAACATAATGAATAACAATATTACATATAAAGTGTTCAATATCTCAAACAGTTATTAAATTAAAACTAAAATAAATGGTTGTTAATAAACTATTCAATTATCTTAAAAAGTATGGAAAAATAAAAATAGAAATGGTAAAAATATTTTCAAGTCAAGAAGTGTTATAGAATGATTATGAACATCAACCTCGCATTGGAAATGCAGTTGCAATACCTACCCTCTACGATTTGTATATGTAGGCCAATTGCATTATTCCGTGGATTTCATAACGGATCATTTGCACAATATTGGTTTTCATATTATTATATTTAGAATGAAATGTGTATATATTATGTCTTCGGCAAGCAGATTCCATATACGACCGTGCATTGGTTCGATAAAGATAATATGTAATCAAGATGATACAGTGGTAACGTGTTTATTAATATTGATGAATAATTGTCACAAAATTATGAAAAGTAATAATATAAAAAACCAGTACAGTGGGGTCGGGGCATAGAGGGGACGGGTAGGTCACAGGTCTACAGGAATTATTAAAAATAAAAGTCATAAAATTGAATAAAATAAAATAATATCTATAACACCTATGTCGTATCCAATAACGTAGCCAGAAATGTGTGGGTCCCAGTTTTAAAATTGTATTAAGTATTTTTTATTTTGTTAACAAAACAGAATACGTTAAAAAAAACAACTTATTTTCAATAAACAACAAATCATATTGGTAACACCTAAACTGCAAGATACTGCAGACACGTGTGACATTCTGAAAATAAATTTACTTACTAATTTGTGTACAATTGTATGTATATTGTAAAATTGTCATCTTCATATGTTTATCTTAATTGTGTTTGAACCTTTAGATTTTTCTAACAACAATAAATTCCAAATAACATATTTTGTTACCTACGAAATATATAAATGTCCATTACATATACCTTACTCGCAATAAAAATAATATTCACTGTATAAGTAAAATTTATATTCTATTATCTAATCTATTCCGACTATTTGCTTTTAATTCTGATTCCAACGTTTTTTTTTTATATCTTTATTATAAAATGTCTATAAAGATGTGTATTTCAAGTTAATTATTGAAATTTATTTATTGTAACAAATTTACAATTATAAACATGTAACTTCTTTATATTATTTACTATCTATACTTTATAGAAAATATCGTGGTACTTTAATAACTGAGAGTCTGTCGTGAACGCTGAAGATGACAACATTGTTGCCGAAATACGACGTATTCGCGGAGAGTATATAATTTGTATGGTTAAGGGTTTTTATTATTATTTTATTCTATGTTATTATGTGTTATTCATTGTTCTATTATTATATTAGTGTATTAAAAAAACCAGTACAGTGGGGTCGGGGCATAGTGGGGACGGGGAGGTCACGGGTTTACAATAATTTTTATATCTAAAAGTGATAAAATCACTTTCGAAGAAACGCTTCGATGCAAATCGGTAGTTAGTATTTTTAAGCCAGTACAGTCCAAACCAAGCACAGTGTGACCGATAAAATTACAAAATAAAAGCATCAAAGCGTAATTTGAAAGTGATTTCATCCGAGAGGCCTAGTACAGTAGAATGTAGGCATAATGAAATCACAGCAACGAGGCGACGGAGATGTTCATACAATGAATTATTTTACACAAAATCAGAGCTACAAGTTGATAAACTAAAAAATAAAAATTAGCACGAAGCAGATTATCTTCTAATGGAAAATTTAAAGCGTGAATCTCTTGAAATGAATAACAGTATAACAATATGCAAAACATTAGTGTTCCTTTAAAAAAAATTGTGTAATATAAAATACATTTTGGAGCGGTAGACTGCATAAGAACCAACACTTAATCTGGATCCAATAAACAACAATCCTCTTCATAATTTTGCAGGTAATTGGACATAATATACTCATAGTTGACCTTCGGTACGGTCGGCCGCGGGCGATAAAATAACGAGATAACGACGGTGGTTTTGCCGTACCAAAACGATTAAGTTTCTTAATAAGTAGACGGATCAGTTTTTTTCCAGAATAAATCTTGTGTCTACTGTATTCAGATATACGATTTAGTAGTCTGTAATATCATGTAAAAAACACAATATTATGATACCGACCGTTAGGACCTAACCTAACCTAACACCGGTCGATGTTACCAACCGACAGTTATTAGTGTCTGTTCGTTTCTCATATCTGGTAAACCGTGTTTGTAGTTTGATAAAAAAAATGTTTAAGATTTTAGGTGTTTTTGTTAAAATATACGCAACCTTTTGCGTTTTTCTCTTCGGTAGGATTAAGGGTTTTGGGTGGATTATGGGTTTCCCCAGGGGTAACTTTTGAAGTATTGAAAGATTTCTAAAGGGGTTCGTTAAATTCATGTTCAATAGTATCTTAATGTCTTTGTAGTTCATATCTAACCAGGTAGTTTGTGTACATCTTTATTATTATTATATTATTTTAATATAGTTTTAACTTTAATGACCAATTGTGTTTTTTAAATTAATCGAGAAGTGGTATGTTTTTCATAATCATTAAAAAGGGCGGTATCATTAATACAAAAAAAAAAAGAGAAAACAGCCTTTAAATAAATTACCGATAAACTATTCCTCAGTCACCAAGCTATAAAAAAAAAATCATCATTATATCATTTTAATATCCAACCTTTTCAGCTACTAATAAAGCTAAGAAATTCCGATAAATAGGGTTTTTTGAACAAAAAAAGTTGTTGTACATAAAACAAATCTAATCTTAAGTTTAGTTTTTTTTCATTCAGTAAATTTTAATATACAAACAAGACGTTTTTCATTTTCGGCGTAAGCTATACGATAAAACAGCCTGACAAATACTGTTCTGTTTACATTAGACAGCTGAAAATAAGAGCCGTAAAATAAAAACTAACTTTAGTACGTTTAATACATTCGAAAATGGCATGCAATAGTACTACTATTTGGATGATCACGATTCTGGTAATCGTTGGATTATCGAGTGCAGTACACACATTCGACGACAAGGACTCGCTTAAACAAACATTACTCGACAGATATGAAACTGGATCAACGAGTGTTGCACCCACAGACAACGAGATAGATTTATACAATAAAATATTAAATGATGAATTTGATTCCGGGTCACCGAGTGCAAAACCCACAAGCAGCGAGATATACTTATATAAACTAAAATTATTAGATGAATATAATTATCTTCAAGCGCTCAACCGAGGAAGTTTCGCAAGTCCCCAAATAAATGTAACGATAATTGACAGACTTGATAAAGTAAGAGATATTTTAAATCGAATTTTAGAAGAACTTAATTATAATTATACGTACGATGCTTTAGTTTTTATGAAGTTAATGACTTCAGAAAACTACGCGAATGTGGAATTATGTAAACAGGTTGACTATGCATGCCCAAATTGGGCTCAGCACATGCTGAACTCTATAATTAATAGTGGTTTCCCGTTAAGGAGATTTCCGTACACTTTTTGGATGTTTTTTCTTTACACGAAAAAAATGAAAATGTTCGCAATGCGTGACGCAGAAAAAGAAATGAATAATCTTACCGGTTACATGATGACGCATTTTAAACACCAAATGGAACATTCTAAATATTTGTGGCCTAAAAACTATAATTATGATTCATACGATGCCGAACTAAATAGCTTACACCCAAATTCAGCATTTGAAAAGGTAACAGAAGCATGTACATATCTCAGCACGATGTCTGAAAGCAAACTGAACTTTAATCTGGATATTGATTCAACCTTATATATCAATAACGTGGTGGAAGACACTATATTTATAAATACTTTGGTTACGAGTTTCGGAGGTTTACACGGCAGTCGGTTTCTTCTAAGTGAATTAAATAGTTCAATAAATGCAGCTAAGAATCCTGCGTCATCGCTTTCCGATTGGATCCATTCACTTCATGATGTCCATTATTATTTTTTGCGCATTGTGAAAACTATAATGTTACGTGTATGGTGGGCATTTTTAAAGAATTTGAAAACGATGAAAAACTATCAGTCAGCGGAACAATTGGAAACACTATTATACAAACAACATTTGAATGATTTTGTTAGCTTGCTTAAATTACACAAGAAAGACGATTTCATGAAACTCCTTAATTTAAACGAGGAGGAGGATGAGGAGGATTTTAGAGAACTCCCTTACGACACTTTACCGCGGTCTTCTTGTAAAACTGAAAGGAAAATGAGAAAGATTTTACGATTACTGACTAAATACGAAAAAGAGAATGCCAGATTCGTTTTTGAAATCGACGAACCTGTGATCCTAAAAAAAGTTGATTGCCAAAAATCTACACTAGTTGATATCGCAAACGGTATTGGCCATAAGATTAGTATACCCCGATCCCCGATACGAGAGAGTATTCTGTGTGCGGAAGTTTTTGTGGAATATTTAAAAAACAAATTGTCTAAGGTAAATTTTGTCATTTTGCAATCATTTCATATACTTGACCAGTGGGTTCGAAAGAAGTCATTTGTGTGGTAAATTTTAATTTAGTGAGATTATATAACTAAAATACACTTGATAAATATTAATTAAAATCAACCTTTTTTCAATTTTAATATTATATAGAAGGAAAAAACCTATGTTATCAAATTCCCCTTCTCGATTATATACTCTTTAGTTTCATATTGTTGACGTTACTGTATAATGTTAAAAAATATTTTTAAATAGCTAACGTGATATTTTATTTATTGTTAAAATATGATTTCAAATATTGTATTTACATATAATACATACAATTATAATTTTAAATAAATGTTTGCTGTGCTGTAAATTGTATTAAAAAATTATTTTAAAATTCACTGAAAAGTATATCGTTGAGCGTTTTTTTTTTTTTTTAATGCATTTATTAAGCATTATGTGTTAAAGATAATGGTTATTTAGACTAATTTGATTGTCTGAAATGATGATGGTATAATTATTTTAAAAAGCATTTGTCGGGAATTGAAACCTTATCTGATGGTCTCGGTTTGCCTCCACTGATGAAGTAGAACAATTTAATGTGCAATAGTATTGTTCAAATATTGAAAAATATGATAGAGAAAGTTTTGAAACGATTTACTAAAACAACTCATTTTAAGTTACATAAAACAATTGGAAGTACCAAATTTAACAATTTTCCCATTGCTCATATTTTCACCTAAGACGTATCATTTTGTATGTTTGCAGTGGCAGCCATCGCAGCTGTTGCAAAAAAAAAAAAAAGACCATCGCCAAAAGTATAGTTTACCGTCAACTAACGTCATCGATTGTTCGACTGCGTTAATAAAAAAATTCACTATTTTTCACAATTATTATAAAAAGAATCAAATTATCAATCTTAGAAAATGCTCTAAATTTCCAGAAAAAATATATTATAGTCATTAAAATGTATTACTGTTATTTTAGAAATCATATTTTTAAAAGAAATTTGTATACGGCTCTTTTGATTGATGTCATAAACTTGAAAGTTCAAACAAATTTTATTTCCCTACCGATGTTTGAAAAAAATAGCTTAACATGCATATCTTAATTATTGTACAGTTTTCTATAAGAGTTTCCTGTGTCACCACTAAGTATTGTTACCGAAGGGAAAAAAATTGCAATGAAAATAATATCATTGTATGATAAAAACCAAAAAAGTTTCCCAAAGGTAGTTTTTTTATAATTTTAGAAAAAGTCAAGTGGGCCATTAAATTCTATATAACCTGTATCAGTTGACATTAGGTGTATATTGTTTTATTATATGCAAACTTAATAAGGTTATCTAAAATATGTTCAAAACATTTTGAATTTGTAAATTTTTTTTTAATATAAGGGAGTACAGTATCTGAACTCCGTATAGTTGGAATCAAACGTACATCAAATCACATATTTTTCTCTAGTACTACAAGTTTGTTTTCGAGTTTCCCTACCTAGGTATGAACTAAATAAACATTACTTAAAAAAAACGTATTGCAAAATATGTGTTTACCTTTAGATTCAGTACTACTTTTGAAACACATGTGCAGAAGTGCGAGTTTTTACAAAACCTCACTTGCTTTACAATGGAATGACGTTTTTCAGTTTTCGATGGATCACATGAATTCTTTAGGTTTTATATTTGTATAATGTAATTTTTTAATTGCATAATTTACACATGCGTTATAGTAAAAATAATTGTTACTATTCTTATTTTTTACTATTAAATGTTAGTAGTCTTTTATTATTACTGTTGGCTTTGGGGAGAAATTGTTTATAGAGTATGTAAGTTTACATTTTAAAATTTTATTTTTAATTTAAAATATTTAATTATTTTTATGCAACGAATCATGTATTGGAAATTATTTTTTATCTTTTTCGTGCTTCTTTTAAATTGTGTTAAATTTTTGTTGGATAAATTTTACATTTAAAATAATAAATAGCTAATCTAGTTTCTATACTTTATTGAATCATGTTCATAATTCACTGTAATTACTGTGGAATTAAAAAATACAGTTTTTTGGCATTTCCATGTCTTAGCTCTGGCACATAACCGAAAAAAGCGTTATTAAAAAAGCGTTACCACAAGGAGATGGTGTAGGGGGTGGGAATGGGGATGAAGATGGGGTTGGGGGTGGAAGATAGGGGTGAGAGATAGGGGTAGGAGATTAGGGTAAGATATAAGAGATAAGAGATATGTTGTACGTTCAAATTAGAACTAAATGATAAATTCAAAATAGTTTAAGGACCCAAATTCTCTATGAATTGTTTTAAGCCAGATATTAAACACTACAATTTTAGCCAGAAACTTGATGTTTTAATGTACTAGCTTGTCACTGCTTCTTAATATACTATATCATTATCTATAATTCCACCACTACTCTAAATTTATTCGGTACTTCAACGAGTCATGAAAATGCTCTTTCGTGGTTGCAGACTCGGCTGAAAAACTTTTTTTGTTATATATTTCTGTTTTTAAATAAGTAATGAGATTACGATTCTTATACAACATTAGTTTATATTAAATCGTATATGAATAGAACATTAAAATAGTCTTTAAAAAGTTTAACATATAATACAAATACACTTGCACAAACGCATTTAGTCAAACCAATGTGTTTTATACATTATAAAACAGTGTTTGGCGTGTATTCAATATGTTATATAATTTATCAGTTTAGTTGTACTATTAAATAAGGCAACTTAAGATTGTACGAGAATCTCCAACAGAATACATGTGCATGTATTTAGTATTTATGTTAGTTTGTAGAACATATATCCCATATAAATTGACTTTTTATTCTCGACTAAAATGAAGAAACATGTACTTTAATCGAAGTGTGTAGAAAAGAAAACTACTTATTACTGTTATATGGCACCGGTGGCCGCAAGACCCCCGGTGCCAACTTTTTTCATAGAAACGAATTTTTAGACATTTTAGTAAGCTTTAGATTGGTATAATCAAATTGAGGGGACCTCTTCCGGAACATTGTCAAAAATTGACATAACTGCCGCCGGTTTCGGTCGGCGGTCGGCCGCTTTTTTATTGCTGGGTTGGGTTCGGCGGCCGCAAAACCCCAAGTGCCATTTTTTTAAGTTAAATAATATACTCTTACTGTTTTGTCGATAATTATAATATATTTTAATTAATTAAGTCGATATCGTATAATAATAATCGTCGGTGTATGGGGATATATGGACTGCCCCTTAGAATAATAAGTGTATTGGCAACACAACATACACCAACGCCATGACACTTTCTGTTATCAAATATTGCTGACTCGTTTATGGCTAACTTCACATTCGTTATTGTTTTTTATTAATAACTGAGATTTCTTTTCGTACACTCTGAATTTCTATGAATTATAACTAGTTAAATTAGATTTAGCGCTATAGGTACAATTTGTTTTCAGTGTTGTTGCCACGGTTCCGGTTCGTGAAAATCTCTACATTTTAATCAATAATCATTATAACAGTTGAATTCTATGATAAATACCGAACGTATTGCGTCGTGTTTTGTTATTTCGTTTCAATTTGCATTACAATTGAGTTTTGTCTTGCCTGTGTATCATTTATTATAAGTTTTTAGTAGCAGCTTTGGATAGCGGTTTACGGTTCTACGTTGTGTAAGTACCTACTGTTTTGTATTTCTACATTATTAACATTATTGATAAGTTTCCTGTCTTCCATTGACTTAGAACACTGCTTGTGAATAAATAGAATCATAATCTATAGGTAATCTGTTTTACTTACTATTTTCTCCGAGTCCCGTTGAATGACACAGGATCAATGCCATTTCAATTAGTCAAGTCGTCCAAAATGGTCTATCGCCTAGCTTCTATCTTTATCTCTATGTATGGTAGTACTAAGTTATACTTTTAATTTTATATTATTGGTTTTATTTAAGTATAATAGAATTTAGTTTTAAATGTTTAAAAAAAACAAAGTATACCACTCAAAATGTTGCTGGTTTTTGTATTTTAAATAATGTAAACTAAATTATTCTTTAATATATCATTATTATTACTAGATGTGCAGTTCAAAAACGATGAAATTTCTATAATAGAAGAGTATTTAGTAAAGAATGAAGGCGACAATACTTATGAGTAAGGCTACTTTATTACAAATATTTGTTACTAAATAAAATAGTTAAAATTGTGTAATTAAGTCTTCCTATTGAATGTCTATGCATATATGGTACAGAAATACAACTAACATTAAATGTCCATTATAGAGTTTTGGAGCGGTATAATGTGTTGAAAATTAAACATGAAAATGATGAAACTGAAGAACCTAAACCGTTAGATGTGCAGTTCATAAAGAATGAAATTTCTACAACAGAGGAGTATTTGGTAAAAAATGAAGTGGACAATACTTATGAGTAAGGCATTTTTATTACCTTTTTTTTCTAAATAAAACAATCAAGTTTTTTTAATGATCTCGTCCTCCTCTATAAACCTCTATTTACTTCAGTTGTACTTCTCTAACTGGAATTATTGGTTGTATTTAAAAAGATACAATGCCGTAATAGTAAAATACTTAAAACGTTATAAATATTATTAATAATTAGATAATTGTTTTTCTAATAGGTATTTATTTTATTATTGCGCAATTAAAATGTCTATTTTTTAAATTCTGGTGCATTTTAAACTTTTATTTTTAAGAAATTTAATAAAAACAGTTTTTCTTAATTAATACAAATAAACATACTTATATATATATATATATATATATATATATATAGTTCAACAAATTATACCTACTCTACGTAAATCATAAACTATTGAAATTGCTTTATTGTTTTTTTATCTTAATGAGTCAATGAAGTAGTGTATATTTAAAGATACAAATATCAAATAATCTCCACGTTGCAGTGTATCTTTATCATCTATTAAATTATTCAATGAGGTGGTGTATCTTTAAAGATACATGCTATTATAGAAAGCTGTTCATTAAAAATGTGAAAAATTAACTCCACGGGTCCTAATTAGTAAAAAAAACTATTAATATCCACGCTATAAGCAGATACATCGGCACATGGATAATATGTTTCTTTTCTTATTTCTAATATTTTATATCTAATATCTTATCTCGAATCTTTGGCCAGAACATTATAAATTATTTATCAGGTCTTTCATTCACAAAAAAACCGCTATACAGCACCACAACGCACAAATTGTTTTATTGTCCCCGAGCCAATAGACATATCTATGTCAAACACATAGTTTGGTCATTTCATGTGAGTTTTTTATTGCTGCCAAGTTTAGAGTTAAAAGACCTCGGTCATTAAAATGTCTCAAGGTACTAAATGTAAAAATGGACTTAAAACAGAGTAGAATTTTTAAGTTTCAAATCTCATGGCATTCGGACGTTTATTATCAATATTCCAAAAAATGTAAACGTTGCATTGTATTTTGTTGGATAAGTTTAGGAAACACAACCAAATAAAAATTGCATTGTACATTTAACATTAGTTATATCATTAATTATGTAATAGACAGATAGCCCATAGCATAGGAGTATTCAGCGACTAACATCATGCTTATGCCGATTCTCGATAGATAACGTTGGGAGATTGTGAACTCCGTCTATTACATAATCAATGGTTATATTAATACTTGCTGTATAACATGAAAAAAAAATTCTCTTAGATAAATCTATTTGTTTTTATACGTGTTGCAGTATTCATTTTCCGTGTAAAGCGACCAATACCTCAAGTAATACAAAGAAAATCAATCATCGAAACAGCAGAACCATAGGGTCTACTCGAAACAAAGATGGCCTATTTAATTGTGGTGTTTGTTTAAAAAGTGTTTCGTCAATATCAAGCTTGAGAAGACATTGTCGTATTACTCATACGGACGTAAAACCCTTTAAATGCGATGTTTGTGAAAAAACATTCAGTCTACTGCATCATCTTAAGACTCATGAAAGGAAACATACCGGTGAAAAGCCATTTAAATGTAATGTCTGTAAAAAAACATTTGGTGATCAGTCTTCCTTTAAAAGACATGAAAGGGTACATACCGGAGAGAAGCTTGTTAGATGCAATGTCTGTGAAAAAACATTTGGTTATCAGACTAACCTCAAAACTCATGAAAGGATACACACTGGCGAGAAACCTTTTAAACGCAAAGTGTGTGCAAAATCATTCAGTCATCAGGCAAACCTCAAAAGACATGAAAGGATACATACCGGCGAGAACCCTATAAATGCGATGTCTGTGAAAAAACATTTGGTGATCAGTCTTCCTTTAAAAGACATGAAAGGGTACATACCGGAAAGAAACCTTTTATATGCGATGTCTGTGAACAATCGTTTCGTTGCCAATATACTCTCAAAAGACATCAAGCAAAAGCACACGGCTCATAAACCTCGCGTGACTATTTGGCAGTTTTAAAATAGTTTTTTAATATATATCTGTTATTTGAAATTTTTTTTTTCACTTACGATTTAATTTAGATTTATCATGAATTATTTAGTTTTTATATTTGTATAATGTAATTTTTAAATTGCATAATTTGCACATGCATTAAAGAAAAAAATCTTACTATTTTTTTTTTTTTATTATAAAATGTTAGTAGTCTTTTATAATTACTGTTGGGTTTGAAGAGAAATTATTTATAAAATATGTAAGTTTACATTTTAAAATTTATCTTAAATTTTAAAATATTTATTTATTTTTATGCAACGAATTATATAATAGAAATCTTTTAATTTATTGCGCTACTTTTAAATTGTGTTTAATTTTTTTTGGATTAATTATACATTGAAAATAATTAGTAGGTAATATAGTTTTTTTTCTTTATTAAAATATGTTCATAATCCACCATGATAACTGTCGAATTTAAGAAGACTATTTTTGTTATATATTTCTGTTTTTAAAAAAACAATAAGAGATTATGATTTGTATATTATACTCGTTCGACCTTTTTTATTACGAGTTTAATTAAAATTGGCTGTTTGGAAAAATTTTATAAGTATAAAGTTTTTTACCAAAAAAATTGGTCGATGTGTTAAACAATAAACCTTTAATGGTTTTATAATTCCAAGCTTTTCGTAAAAAATAAGAACATAATTGTCATTGGGTGCAATGCTCTTATCGATATTTTTCTTATTATCTCACTTACTACCTACTAGTCATTTACGTATAATACTTTTTTATTGTAATTTTATTGTTATGCTAATATACTGTGCTTGGTTCGGACTGTACTGGTTTGGATTTACTGTCCAACGATTCGCAACAAAGCGTTTATTAAAAAGTAATTTTATCACATTGAGTTATAATCATTCCTGTAGACCTGTGACCTCCCCGTCACCACTGTTCTGGCTTTTTTTAACATATTTTTTTTTTTTTATTATTATGTTAAATATTAATTTCACAAGTGTGGGAACTATCCGCCTGTGTATTCTAACACAATTAGCGAAAGGTGTTTCCATAACGGATAAAGACTTAGGTAAACGCATTAATACATTCTATATAAGATGTCGATGAAGGTAAATTTACTACAAGCTTTGAAACCGGTGTTGGGAATTTGATCCGTTTGCCTCATAGAACGCGCTACAGTTTACCTCCACTCGTTATTACCACTTTTACCTACCACTACCACGGTTATGTAGATAACAGTGGTTACCACACACACACAAAACACACGCTATCACAAATCTGTCAAGACAATGTTAGCATTAAAACCACAATCATTATTAAATACAAGTTTTGACTTTTGTTGTTGTCAACAATTGAGATTTCTTCTTGCAAACTCTTCTTTTTGTGAATTATTACTAGTTAAACTAGATTTAGCGCTACAGGACCAATTTGTTTTCATTATTGTTGCTACGGGTCCGATTCGAGATAATCATTAGACTTTAATCAAAATAATTTGACCGAATTCTGTGATAAATACCGAACGTATTGCGTCGTGTTTTGTTATTTCGTTTCAATTTGCATTACAATTGAGTTTTGTCTTGCCTGTTTATCATTTATTATAAGTTTTTAGTAGCAGCTTTGGATAGCGTTGGTTTACGGTTCTACGTTGTGTGAGTACCTACTGTTTTGTATTTCTAACATTATTGCCAAGTTTCCTGTCTTCCATTGACTTAGAATACTGCTTGTGAATAAATAGAATCATAATCTACAGGTAAACTGTATTACTTACTGTTTTCTCGGAGTCCCGTTGAATGACCCAGGATCAATGCCATTTTCAATTAGTCAAGTCGTCAAAATGGTCTATCGCCTAGCTTTTATCTTTATCGTATTAGCGTCTTACCTACAAGTCATACTTGTAATTTTGTATTATTATATAGGTTTTTATTTAATACTTATTATTTACTCGGAGTTAGATTGAATGAAACAGGATTGACGCCACTTTAAATTAATCTAGTTGGTCAAATGAGCTATCGTCTAGCAATAATCTTTATCATGTTAGCTTCTTACCTACAAGTTATACTTATACAAAAGACACCAAATATATCACTGTAAACTTGGTTGGTTTTTTATTTTTCAAATCATGTAAACTAAATTTTACATTATTATATCATTATTATTACTATACTTATTACTGAATAAAATAGTAAAAATTGTGTAATTAAGTCGTACTAATAATTCTCTATGCATGTATGGCACAAAAATATGTACAACTTATGTCAAACGTTCGTTAGAGAGTTGGGAAACTGTTTAATATGTTGAAAATTAAAAATGAAAATGATGAAACCGAAGAACGCTCCTTTGAAGGATCGTTTGAAGTCATCGAGACTAAACCGTTAGATGTGGAGTTCAAAAACGATGAAATTTCTACAACAGAGGAGTATTTAGTAAAGAATGAAGGCGACAATACTTATGAGTAAGGCTATTTTATTACTTTTTTTTTACTATACAAAACAATTAAGTTTTTGTAATTTTGTCGCCCTCCGTAATTTAAAAAAAATCACTCATTTACTTATATAAGTATAAAATCTCATGTATCCTAAAAGATAAGTACTATGCTTCGTACACCGCAGTCGAGTGATACGGGATGAACATCACTTTAAATTAATCTAGTCAGCAAAATGATCTATCGTCTAACATTAATCTTTATCGTTTACGCTTCTTACCTACAAGTCATGCTTGTAGTTTTGTGTTATTCATCTAATTTAAGTTGATTAAAATTTAGTTTTAATGTTAAAAAAAACAAAGTGTATCGCTTAAAATTTGGTCGATTTTTATTTTTCAAACAGTGTCAACTAAATTATTCTTTATTTATTTTTATTTTATTCAAGCTTCGGCAACTAAGGACAATAGCTGTCTTCTTTATTATATCATTATTGTTACTATATTTGTCTATGCATATATGGTACAGAAATACAACTAACATTAAATGTCCATTATAGAGTTTTGAAGCGGTATAATGTGTTAAAAATTAAACATGAGAATGATGAAACCGAAGAACGCTCTTTTGAAGTAATTGAAACTAAACCTTTAGATGGACAGCTCAAAAACAATGAAATTTCTACAACAGAGGAGTATTTAGTAAAAAATGAAGGCGACAATACTTATGAGTAAGGCAATTTTTATTACCTTTTCTTTTGCTAAATAAAACGATCAAGTTTTTTTAATGATCTCGTCCTTCTCTATAAACCTGTCGTTGGTATCAATGTTAGCCTTTCGCTGTCATTTAACTAATATTAGGAACCACACACTAAATAAAATAATTAAAATTAGGTTTGAAGGATCGTTTGAAGTCATCGAGACTAAACCGTTAGACGTGCAGCTCAAAAACGATGAAATTTCTACAACAGAGGAGTATATAGTAAAGAATGAAGGCGACAATACTCATGAGTAAGGCTATTTTATTACTTTTTTTTACTAAACAAAACAATTAAGTTTTTGTAATGATGTCCTCCATAATTTTATAAAAAAATTAATTAATGATACTAGTAATAATAATATTGTTTAAGCAATTATTTTTGACGTTATAAGAAGTAAAGCGAAGTATGAACTTTTCTTGAATAACTTAATGCATAAAATCATAAGGGTTTATGTGATATTAAACATTATAATTTAGTTAAAACTTGTTATCGAGCAGACAAATTTTTCAGTAAAATATATACTATTTTAAAATAATTGTTTGGTAAATACTGTTTGATAAGTTATATATTTAATACATGAGTAATTTCAATTTTTATTTCCAAAAAAGTGTAACTGTTTATGTTATAATAGTGAATTATACAGAAATCTAAAATTGTATATTTAAACTTGTTTTGTTAATTACCGAGTTGATAAGCATTATAATGTATCCAACAAAAAACAAGATATTGACATATTGGTAAATGAAACACAGTATAAAACCAAAATATATTTAATTCAGCTGTTGGAAACAGATCATGTACATCTAAATAATTTATTAATATAAAAGAAAAGCCAATCACTTATTTTAGTATAAAATCTCATACATCTTAAAAGATAGGTACTATCCATTGTACACAGGTATGAGTTGTGTCGAGTGATGAATGATCAACGCCACTTTAAATCAATCTAGTCAGTAAAACGGTCTATCATCTAGCTTTAATCTTTATCATCATATCATCTTACCTACAAGTTATACTTGTAATATTTTGTTATTTATCTAATTAAAGTAAATTAAAATTTAATTTTTAAATGTTTAAAAAAACAAAATATACCACTGAAACTTGGTTGGTTTTTATTTTTCAAATAATGTAAATTAAATTGTTTTTTATTTTGTTAAATATATCCAAGCTTTGTCAACATAGGCCTTTAGCTGTCTTCTTTATTATATCATTATTATTACAAATATTTGTTACTAAAAAAATAATTACAATTAGGTTTGAAGTCATTGAACCTAAACCGTTAGATGTACAACTCATAAACAATGAAATTTCTACAATCGAAGAGTATTTGATAAAGAACGAAGTCGACAATACTTATGAGTAAGGCATTTTTTATTAGAATTTTTTTTTTACTATTAAACAATTAAGCTTTTGTAATTTTGTCGCCCTCCGTAATTTAAAAAAAAATTTAATTAATTATGTCTTAATTTCTTTGTAAAACAGTAATAATATAATTTAAACAGTTGTTTTCGACGTTATAAGAAGTAGCGAGTAACATTAACTTTCCTTGAGTAACTTAATCCCCTTAACTTTACCTTCTTCCATACTTATCTGTTTTATAAACTATTATAAGTCATTAGGGCTTTTATTATATTAAATATTAGACTTTATGTCTAATATTATCTCGTCCTCCTCTATAAACCTGTCGTTGGTATCAATGCTAGCGTTTCGCTGACACTTAACTAATATTAGGAATTAGTCACTTCTTCGTATAATAAATAATTGTTTTAAAACTACATCTACCTCTTATCAATATAATGTTAAATCAAAATACAAAAAAAAAAAAATTTGTAAACATCTATTTACTGGTTTTTGTATTTTATATAATGTAAGCTAAATTATTTTTTATTATATCATTATTATTACTATATTTGTTACTAAATAAAATAGTTAAAATTGTGTTATTAAGTCGTCCTAT